GTTACCGGGGGAAAAGGGACGAGGTGCGAAGGGATAAATTGGGAGTTAGAGATTTTCAGATACTACTATATATAAAATAGATAAACAACAAGTTTCTTCTGTATAGCACATGGAACTATATTCAGTATCTTGTAGTAACCTATAGTGAAAAAGAATATGAAAACAAATACATGTATGTATATATATGATTGAAACATTATGCTGTACATCAGAAAATGATATGTTGTAAACTGACTGTACTACAACAACAACAACAACAACAACAACAACAACAACAAAAAGAAGAAGAAGAAGAAAAAGTTTCAAGTCTCAGCTATGCTACTAGCTGAATGAGTTTTAGGAAGCCATTTAACCTCCCGTGCCTCAGTTTCCTCACATGTAAAGTCACAGAATTGTGTTAACTGATCACTAAGTCTTCTTCCAGTTTCACTACATTATAACTCTTTAAATTTGAAATTTATATTCTCCAAATAGAAATATTTAATTACAATCAAGACTGACACACAAGCCTAAAACAACAACCAGCAGCAGCAGCAGCAATGCAAACTCCGTGAGTTGGGTGAAGTGCGGGTGTCATCACAATTGGTGTAAATAAAGGTGTAAATTCTGCTCTGTCTCTGCCCAGCAAGCAGATCTATAAAGGTAATGAAATTCAAATTTGGAAGCTCTTCTGATTCCTCTCTTTAGAAGTCTAGAATTGAAATCTTTTCTCTGTTTATGACTCAGGTTATGTATATTCATTTCTTCAACCATTTACTAAGAGGCTACAATGTGCAAGGTGGCTGGGATACCAAGATAAGCAAATCTCTCAGGTAGCCAGGCTTAATTAATTGTTGACCTAAGCTTAAAATACATATTTTTAAAAAAATGGTTCACCTTGTCTTTTAGCTTGTAGTTCTGTGAGTTTTTCTTTTACAACTTTAATGGCTGCTTCAGTGGCCTCAGCTATAGTATTTCTGGTTAACATTTCAAGGGCTTCATCAAAACGTGGTTGAACAAGTTTATTGTAGTCAACTACCTGCAAAGAATATTTGAGAAAACCAACATAAGCATAAGTTACTGTGAATATTAAACACATCATTCATCTGTATCTATTTCTATAGCTATCTATCTCAAAAATCTTAATGCTGCTTGAGGTATGTTATTTTCAGAATTCACTGATTTCTGAGTACTTGCTTTCATAGGAATTCAGTCATATTTTTCATGTAGGATTATATATTTATATATGCACAATCATGTAATATATATTCAAGTTACATATATTTTAAAAATCAACACTATGTATAATCTAAATACAACAAAAGGTACCCATTTTAAATATACAGTTCCATGAGTTTTTACAAATATATACATATAACAACAACCTCAATCAAGATACAGAACATTTATATCACCCCAAAAAGTTCTCTGATGCTCCTTTAGGCAGTTCCTGGCCCTTGGCAACCACTTTGTTTTCTGTCACTATAGATTAATTTTGCCTTTTCTAGAATTTCATATAAATGGAACCATACAGTATATAATCTTTTCCAAGTGTTTCCCCCTTAGCGTAATGCTTTTGAGATTCATCAGTGTAACTGGATGTATCAGTAATCTGTTCCTTTTTATTGTTGAGTTGTATCATCGTATCATTATACCATAGTTTTAAATCCATTCATCATAGACATTTGGGTTGCTTTGTTTTGGCTATTATAAGTAAAGTAGCAATAAACATTTGTAAGTCTCTTCCGTGGACATATGTTTTCATTTCTGTTGGATGAATACCTAGGAGTAGAATTACTGGGTCATATGATAAATATATGTTTGACTTTGTAATAAACCACCAAACTGTTTCCAGAGTAGTTGAACTATTTTACATTTCTACCAGCAAAGTATGAAAATTGAAGTTACTTCACATCATCACCAACACTTGGTTCTGTGTATATTTTACATTTTAGCCACTCTAGTTGGTGTAATATCTCATTGCAGTTTAAATTTACATTATAAGGAACTCCTACCAATAATATGCAAAAAATTTTTAAATGGACAAGAACTTGAACAAACACTTCAAAAAGAGACTATCTGAATGGCCAATAAACATATGAAAAAATGTTGAACCTCACTAGTCATCAGGGAAATGCAAATTAAAACCACAGTGGAATATACCCACTAGGATGACTAAAATTAGAAAGACTCATCATAACAAAAGTTGGTAGGAATGTGGAGCTTTCATACACTGCTAATAGGATAGTAAATTGGTTGAACTAGTTCGGAAACTAGAATTGCATTATCTACACAAGTTGAATGTGTATGTCCCAGCAACACCTCACGTCCCAGCAACTTTACTCCTAGATGTATCTTCAAACTACATTAAGACATGCATGTGTATACCAGGAGGCATGTACTAGATTGTTTACAGCAATATTATCTACAATTCCCCAAACTGGAATCAACCTAAGTTTTAACAACACTCAAATGGATAAATATATCATAATAGAATTCAATCAACAGAACTGAATTATAATAAAATAATAAATAATAATAATATAATAATAAAAATATAATAAAATAATAAAAATGAATAAACTATAGCTATATTTAATAACATGCATAAATATCACAATGATAATGTCAAGTGAAAGAAGCCAGGCACAAAGAACATACACTGCTCAAGTCCATAAAGTTAAAAAAGTATGCAAAACTAACTTATGCTATTTGAAAGTGTGCTTACATAGTACAACCATAAAAGAAAAGTACAGAAATGAATATCATAAAATTCAGGGCAGTGGGTAACTTTGTGGAAGGAGTAAGAGGATCGATATTAGAAAGAGGCTTGAAGGGGCTTTCTGGGGTGCTGGGGTTCCATATTTGACCTATGTGGTGGTTGTTTGAGGGTTTGTTTTGTGATAAACAGTGAGCTTCACTTTTCTGTGTTTGTCAGATTTTACAATAAAAGTTAAAAGCAAGTAGAAAATGTTACCCCTGTGTTTAAAAGAATTCAACAACTTTTGGAATAAATTCAAACTCCTTCCCAGGGCCTGCATTGTCTGACTACGTCTCCAGCCATCTCCACCTGTGCCATTCCTCCTTTCATATTCTACGTTCCAGCCCCACTGGCCTTCATGGAACTCCTCTACATTCCAATCCCTCGTCAAATCCTTTGTCTCTGTCTTCAAATTATATCCCAAATCTGCCCACTTCTTACCACCTCTAATGCTACCACTCTGCTCTATGCTAAAAGCAATTTCTCTTTACTTACTGGGGGTGGAGAACAAGATCACTGTGGGGAGAGGTCAAGGAATTGACAGGTGAGGGTGTTGGGAGGGTCATCTTGATAGACAGTGAAATCACTAAGAATTATGACAGGAGTGAGTGTGTGAAGAGAGTGACAGTGGACCAGGAAAGGTGTAACCAAGGAAACAGGAGATGAGCGAAACCAAGAAAGGTAACGAGTGGCATAGCCTGCATGACAAGCAGTCAAATCTGGGGACTTTGGGAAGCAAGCAAGAAGCAGGGAGTGGCTATGGCCTGGAAGCTGCAATAAGGAGGATGCTTTCCCCATTGCAAGCGCAGTGGAACAATTATCCAATTGACAGTGTAAAATTAAGCAAACTGAGTACAAATCCTACAAAGCATAATCACAGAGAATGGGAGAAGAGACAAGAGCAGCCCCCTAAAATCCCACAAAGCGTAATCAAATACAGCTAGATAGAAAGCTAGCTAGCTAGCTATGTAGTTACCTTTCCTTTGTAATGTTTTGCAAGCAAATTGCTAAGTGTTGTCTTCCCTGAAGACTGAGGTCCAAATATGAATACTTTAAATGGTGGTGCTGGCATAGGTGGAAGCAGATAGGGACGTGGGTTCAATAAAAATGTTTTAAATGCTTCTTCTGATGAGAGACAGTATATCTTACCTAGAAAACTTAAAATATACCATAATCATAAACAACTGAAAAGAGGTATGGGCAAGTTTAAAAACTAAATTCTGAAAATCTTTCTTACCTTACAGAAAAATCTGGCATTCCTTGAAAAATGTTACCTTCTTTTAAAGCCACAGGACACATACGTCCCCATCTGCTTCTCTGCCATCTGTATCTTGGTGCAATAAGTTTATAGGATGCAAGAGCACGGAACAACTCGTCCTGTTAATAACAAACACAACATTAAAAGTGTGAGCATAAGTTCTGCTGAAGTTCACATTATTATTTCATTTCTTATTTGATAGTGCTTTACTATTTATAAAATATTTTAGAAAGAAAATTTTGGCTTTTTTCCTAATTGCAACTATTCTGCACTTGCCCAAATTTAATAATGCAAATTGTTTTCATTTCTGTTTTAATACCTTGTTTAAATTGTACTGAGCATTTTCTATTGTAGGGTAGAATAAGCATAAGGTAGGTAGAGTGTTTTCTATTATCTGTTTCAGAAAACAGATTCTGAAAAATTCTTATTGAAAAGGTTTGAAACAGTACTGGATTCTTGTTAATTTATCTAAGTTTTAAAATAGTAAGGTGTTATATGCAGATCTGCATTGACTTAGCTCTTTCATTCTTCTTAAATGTAAAGTCTCCCTCAACAACCCTCTGTTGGTGATCTCCGGAGAAGCTAAGAACTACTCCTCCATAGACTGCAGACTGCTGAGAGGGTCACTGTCCTAGTGCTACCTTGGCAGGGGAAGAGGGAACTCGGGGGAGATGGCATGGTGGGCAACTGCCAAGGGGATGGGTCCAGGCTGGCTCCCTCCAGCCTTCTGATGGGGATTTCACAGGTGTGCTGGCTCCGGAGTTGACAGCAGAGGACAGATAAGAATGGTAGCTCTGGTGTTGCCTGCACCACTGCAACATTAGAAAGCAAAGAGGCAGGCCCATTGTGGGGATGCTGCATGGATGTTCCCATCTGAAGGCTAGAAGGAGCTAAATGGGAAGGAAATTGTCAATGCTCAGAGGAGCTGCATGAGACTGAGAACCTTGTCGGTGGAACACATTGGGCTACCACCCTTCTCCAAAGTCCACAGACAATGATCCAGGGACTGAAACTACTGAGTTAAGTCAGGAGGCAGGCATTCTTTCCTTATTGTCTCTTTCCTGTCCAAACCGGGGGAAAGTGTTTGAATAGCAGACCATGCTCCTCTCTCAACTGGGGCCAAGTGTCTAGCAGGGGCTGAAGGATGATTAGAAGACAGATTTCAAATGAGTTTGATACTACCGTCTCAAAAATGATCAGGACTGCCTCTGGTTAAACAAGGCAGAGTGGACACATGCATTTGTGTTTGTTGCTTTCCTAACACCTCGGGAAAATGACAGCAGAGGAATGAAAAAAGAAATGAACTCACAAGGACACAGAGAACGGGAGAAGAGATTAGAGCAGCCCCAGCTACACACCTTTGTAAACTAGAAAGCCGGTGGACAAGTGGTAACCGAGATCCAAGAAAAGTGAAAGCTCAGTGCTGTGATGTCAGGCATGGGTGTGGGTGGGGTGAGGACAGCAACAAGCAAGCCAAGTCACTGCACAGTCCTAGCGAGGCTCAGAACCTTCAGTACCTCTGCAGCGGAATAGAGAGCAGAAGACAGGAGGATTGGCTGCAAATCTTTAAGAAGAGGTGCTAGTAGCCAGAGCCAATGCCCCATTTCACTCAGCCACCGCTCCTCCAGAAGACTTCAACCGGAAAGCTGGAGGCTTATTTTCTGGAAAGACTGAACCAGAGGATCTTGCAAGAATGCATGTGTCCCTCCCACAATCCAGCAATTAAATAGTTAACGCCTGGCCCAGAAGAGGTTCTTTTTCAGCACTACTGCCAGCTTTGTGGTGGGTAGGTGAATGCCCCCTCACAGTATCTGCTAATTGGCCAGGCCGGGTATAAAATGAAAATACAGGGTCCTTGTTCTAAAGTTATCAGTGATTTCAAGACTGCAACTGCAGAGCAGTAAATTAATGGTGCACAGGGTCCTGCGTGACTGCACAGGGCACTGGCCTATGAAGCCATCCCTGCCTCTGCAATACAGCTGTTAGATATCTTGAATTTTACCATTGGTTCTAAATACTTTGCAAGCATCAATTCATTTAACTTCTATAACACTTATAATAACAATATCTGGTAGGGACTATTATAGCTTTTTCAACAATCAAATAAAGGATAAGGTTAAACAGTCACAGATCTGGTTGGCTGTAGATCTGGAACTCAAATCCCTATCTGTCGGATTTGAGAAACCAATGCTCTTACTGTCTGCTGTGCTGGGTGCCAGCCTTCCTCTCATCACACACCCCTCCTTCCCGCCTCTCTAACAGCTCATCAGATGTTACAGCTCTCACACTCTTACTACAAAGTCTGAGTTCACATTAAAGTCTTTGTGCCTCTCTCATCCCTTCAAACCAAGGTTCTCACCCCTGCCTGGAGAGTAGAATCTACGAGGAGGTTTTTGTTTTTAAAATTGTGGTCAAATATATATACTATAAAACTTCCCACTTTGACGATCTTTAAGTTTACAATTCTGTGGCATTACGCACATTTGAAATGGTCTCAACCATCACCGCTATTCATTTCCAGAACTTTTTCATTAACCCAATCAGAAATGCTGTACCTATTGAACAATAACTCCCCGCTCCCAGCTTCTCCCTGCCCCTGGCAATCTGTTTTACTTCCTGTCCCTAGGGATTTGCCTATTCTAGTTACCTCATTTAAGTGGAATCATATAGTATCTGTCCTTTTGTGTCTGTTTTGTTTCACTCAGCATATTGTTTTCAAGGTTCGTCCATGTTTTAGTATATATCAGAGTTTCATTCCTTTTTAAGGCTGAATAATACTCCACCATATGAATATACCACATTTTGTTTATCAATTCATGCATTGATGTACATTTTGAGTTGTTTCAACCTCCTGGCTATTGTGCATAAATCTCCTATGAACACTGGTATACAAATATCTGTTTAAGAGTCCCTGCTTCCAGTTCTTTTGGGTATATATCTAGGAATGTAACTGCTGAATTATATAGTATAGTAAGTCTGGATTTAACATTCTGAGGAACTACCAAACTCTTTTACTTAGTGGCTGTACCATTTTTCATCACAAGGATTACAATTTCTCCCCATTCTCAACAACATTTGTTATTTTCTGGTTTTTGGAATATTTATCTACCTGTCTTTTCATGTGTTTATTGGCCATTTATATTCTTTAGAGAAATATCTATTCAAGTCCTTTGTATTAGTTCTCTTAAAATCAGCTGCCTTTAGTTGAAGAGCATCCATTTAAAGTTCTTCAAAATACTCAGGAACTTAAAGATTAATCAACTTTGACTGGCCAGGGTCCTTCATGAAGTGCCCCAAACTTTAAAGTAGGGGTTTTCAAATTTAAGTGAGTACAGGAATCCTTTCCCCTCTGGATGTCATAAAAATACATCTCTAAATCCCACCTTCAGACATTCTGGTTCAATCAGTCTGGGATATGGGCCTAAGGAATCTATATGTGCAGTAAGCTTCCCAGGTGATTTGGTGCTGATTTGGACTGCCTAAGGAATATGAATAATGACTCCAGTGTACAGTTACAACTTCTGCTCTTTTATGAAAAAGAGGGCAGGCATCTTTGGTCACATGTCCCATGAACTATAACCTTAGACCCATGCTTATGCTTGTAGTAATTTCTAAGGACAAACTTTCTAGCTGGGAAATTCTCCCAGTTGCTGCTGCTGCTGTTTTTACTACTGCTATATATTTTTAAGGATTTCTGTACACAGTATTTCCAGTGGTTGGTTTATAAGATTTTGATGCAAATTGTGACCTTGTAGCATAGGAGACCCACTCCACAAGGCAGCTGGAAATCGGCGTTCTCAACAGAGGTAACAGCTAGCTGTGTCGAGGGCCAGGGGCCCTGATAGTGTGGGATAGGTGGGGTGGGATCACATAGCTCCTTTTCCAGCATCGGGCAGGCGGCATCTGAATTAATCCTTCCTGCTAAGGACCCTCATTGTTGGTCCCCATCATGCCTTCCCTGAGGTTCTGTTGACGTACAAGCCACCCACAAAGCACCCTGGTCCCAGACCCCTGGTACCGCCTTTACCCCTGCTCAGAGCTCATTGTGGTGAGAGGGACAGACCCAGCAAATGCTTCTTTACCTTGTAGCCCATCTCCTTGGTCTTCTTCTCCAACATGGCATCTCTTTCTTTGCTCTTGATGACACGCTCCCTGTAACCAAAGCTCTCCTCATATTTCAGTTTTTGATGAGAAATTTCCAGCTGCTTCTGATACTGGTTATGCTTTTTGATTTTGGCTTCAAAGTGCATAGCTCTTCCCAAAAGGGTTCCAGCTCCTTCTCAGTGAATCTGGCTGACCTGGCCAGGTCCCACAGATCCATCACCTTGGGTTCCTAAACCTCTGCCTGGGCGCCGTAGCCCTGGTGGCCGACTCCCTTGGGCGGTCGAAGCCCTGGCTCATGTCCCGCAGCTCGCCCTTCAGCTAGGCGCGTCTGCTCTGCAGCACGTCCTCTTTGACTCGGACCACACTGGCGGGACTGACGACGTTTTCGTGAATTTCTTCGGTCCTGCTCAGGATCTCCAGAAGGTCGTTACACTCCTGGACTTTTCCCCTGTGAGGCTGAAACTCTGGCCACAAGTTGTCCAATTCTTCGTTGAACTTCCCGGAGGTCTTCGCCTTGTGCCACAGCTCCTCCAGCCGGGGGTCCTCCAGGCTGTTGTCCTCGGCGCTGAGCAAGTTGCCGCTCACGGCCCCGTGCGTCCTTTCTCCAGTCTAGACCGTACTAGGCCCGGGTGACAGAGGCTACGGATAAGTTCTGCTTCTTTCTCTCTGTCTTCATCGAAGCCTTTAGCCTTCAGTTTCTTCCACTTGGATTCGTGTCTTTATTTTGTATCTTCAGATCAGCATGGAGCTCGGACAGTTTCCACGCGAGAAAGATTACGCCGCTGGGCCATCTCCCACAGCTGGCTGGGCTCCTCCACTCGGAACTACCTGGGTCCCGCTTCTAGGGCGGCGGGCTGGCGGGGGCTGGGGGTGGGGGCGGGACTCGTCCTTCTCTCGCGAGGACTTGCCGCCATGACCCCGTGCGGGTCACCGCCCGAGAAGCTGCGGTGTCGGGAGTTTGCGCAGCCCGGCCCGCGCCCTCCGCGATGCCGCCTTCGGACGCTGAGACCCCGGGAACAGTGGGACGGAAAAGGCCCCAGGTTTCACAGATATTTAAAAATTTCCCTTTCATTTCCTTTCCAGTGATGGCATAGAAGAGGCTAAGTATGCAGGCTCTGTGTGCACCAGGCCCGCCTTTCCTCCTCTTCAGCACTGTTAGTGTTACACACTGCAGCTATGTTCACCCATTAAGGGCTAGGGATTACACAGTGCAGGATAACAAAATGACCTCTTTCTTGAAAGATTATTGTACTTGAATTATGATATCTGTTTATGCTTCTGGCATTAGTTCCCCCCCTCTTTCTATAGGTGAAACTAAACTTCCCAGAATAGATCAGATCCTCCAGTTTTAAGTCCTTTTGTCCCTTTTAGCACTTGGCAACTATAATTTGATCATCATCATATCCACAGTACCAGGACGAGGAACACAGTAATAATTTTTTTTAATTTGTAATTTTAATTTAATTTTTTTATTTGATGGAATAATTGAGAGGATGAATGAGTACTTAGAAGAGTTGAGGTAAAGTTTTTATGTCTTAGCTGTCTTTGGTGCTGCAAAATTTTTAAACTGAACTTGGGTTTCTTTATTTCTCATTATTTCTGCGGTTGATTGTTCTGATTTTATTGTCTTTCTTTGCTTCAAAACTTTTGTTGTGTTTAGTGTCTACGAGAATATGTGCCAATAATAAAGCTTCTTGAAAATCAAATCCATTTTTATAAAAGATATCCTGAGATGCTTTTAAACCTTGAAAGGATACAAATTAAGGTCATAACATACAGTGAAACGGTAGATTTTCAAACAATTAAAAATAACTTACATTTTCCATTGTTTCATTAATTTCTTCCTCTGCACTCTGAAGTTTAGTTAACACAGCTGCTCTTTGTAGGTTCAGATATTTAAGTTGGTCCATAACTGTCTAAATTTAAAGAACAAGTCTTTAAATACATTGACATTTGAACATCTCAAATATTCAGAAAAAGTCATGAGCTTATGAGCTGGAATACTTCCTTGCTGTTCCTGGCTTCTGATAGTTTTCTGGCAATCTTTGGTGTTCCTTGGCTTGTAGGTGCATCGCTCCAATCTTTGCCTCTGTTGTGACATAGCCTTTTCTCCCTGTGTTCGTGAGTCTCTTGTAAGGATACCAGCCATATTGGATTAGGGCCCATGCTAATTCATGACGGCCTTATATTAAGTTGATTACATTTGAAAAGATCTTATTTTCCAAATAAGGTCACACTTAGATATTGAAGTTTAGCTCCTGAACATATCTTTTTGAAAGACACAGTTCAACCTGTAAGAGCCTGCCCTTTGGTCCCTAAATTTTCATGCCTGTAGAGGTCTAGCTTTATGGGACATCTTCAGGCAGAGGGGAGACAGCCATGTAAAGACAGAGGCAGATATTGGAGTTATCCTGCCACAAGCCAGAGGGTGCCTGGTGCTACCAGAAGCTGGAAGAGACAAGATGGAACCTCCCTGAGAGGCTTTGGAGGTTGTGAGGCTCTGCCAACATGTTGATATTAGACTTCTACCCTCCAGAACTATAAAAGAATAAATTTTAGCTATATTTCAGTTGTTTTTAAGCTACTTAGTTTGTGGTCCTTTGTTATGACAGCACTAAGAAACTAATTCAGACACTATGTGGAAGAATATGTAACACAGAATCTGAAATGAGAAATGGTAAGATAGACAAAGTCCTGATGGTATATTGCAGTCTATGGTAGATTGTGTTATTTGTTCACAATTCATCCTTTCTTCCCTTCCCTTGTTAATTCCCTAGTTTATGTGGGAATCCCTATCTCATTAGTATTGAGATTTTCCATGTAACTTGTTCTGGCTGATGGAATGTGGGCAGAAGTGCCAGGGTACCAATGTCAGCTGGGACCTTAACAGGCTTGGCAAGTTTCAACCAAGCTTGTTAGAGCTTCTGCCCTCGATTTTGAGGAAAGTGTCCCAGGCTTTAAAAAGTGTTCAAATTCTGGATATATTTTGAAGTCTGCTGTGTATGCTCATGGGTTGGACGTGGGATGTGAGAAAAAGACAAGAGCAGCTGGAAGGATGGATGTGACATTTACTGAGAGGAGAGAACTGTGAGAGGAGTGTATCAGGGGCAGGCTGGTGGTGATGGCGGATCAGGAGTTTTATCTTGCACATTTAAATCTGAGATGACTATTAGACATCCAATTGGATATATTTAGTAGAAGTTGATTATACAAGTGTGAAAGTCAGGGGAAAGGTTTGAGATGGTAATATGAATGTAAGAGTTGCCAGCATTTAGAAGGTATTTAAAGCTATGGGACTGCATGAAGTCTCCTAAGAAATGAGGGTAGACAGAGAAGAGAGCACAAGGAGTGAGCTCTGGGATCCTCCAACTCTGTAGAGATTAGAGATGCAAAGTGTAGGAGTAGAAGGAGCTATAGCAGTAGTGTGGGGTCCCAGAAGCCAAGGGAAGAATGGAGCTGGAAGGAAGATGTGATGAGCTGGGTCAAATATTGCTTCTAGGTGAGTTAGATGAAGACTGAACAGTGACCATGGGCTTTGGTCAGGAGATCAGGGGTGATCTTAGCAAGTGCATATTCTAAGTGAGGAGCTTTTTCCTAATTTGGCTCCACCACCAGCGTTATTATTATGTGGCCACCAACCACATCAGACTGAAAATCTGGGCATTGCTTTTCTCTCTCCCTGTACTCCTACATTGTCACTCACCACATCCTGTCATGTAAACTTCTTAAATCACTCCCAAGTCTGTCTTCTGTCCATTCCCACAGTTACTACCCTGGGTTAGGCCACTATCTCTTACTTGATCTACTGCAAAAGTCAGAACTAGGCTTCCTCCCACCAGTCTGGTTCTCCTCAGCTTTCCCTTTACACTGCAGTCTGAGTGATCTTTCTTAAATAGAAATAGGAGCATTTTCACTCTGGCTTAAAACCTTTCACTGGCTGCCCTCTCTCTCATGATGAGGTCTAAACTCTTTAAGATGGCTTACAAAGTCTTTCTTGATGCAACCTCTGCTTATTCGTAAAGTTTTGGCACTATCCCACCCCTCCTACCCCATCCCCCCTAAAAACTCCTTCATTTTACAGTCTTACATTCAGTTCCTAGAACTTACTATGCTCTTTCTTGTCCCTGGGGCTTCATGCAGACTTCCCTCAGCCTGGAGCACTGTCCCACCTCCCTCCCCTCTCCCAGCCTTCACGTCTAATTCTTACTCATCCTTGGACTTTCAGTCTAGAAGTAATTTCAGACATATAGCCTTCCTCACCAGACTAGGTTCTGCCCTTCTGCCATGAGCTCCTATAGTACCTTGACCTTCCCAGATTTAAACACAAATGGCCCTTTAAATATTTATTTCCCCCCAATATATTGGATACTGCATGAGGGGAGGGACTGGTGGACTCATTTGACCCCTTCCCTTCTGTATCCCTAGAGCTTACCATAATGCCACACACCTATTAGGTGTTAAAGAAATAGGTAATGTATTTTTGTATTATTTTATATTGTACTGTATATTTTTGCATTTAAAAATTTTTATAATGCAGATTATTTTGTATTATTTTTGTATTTTATACTTTTGTTCTTTCTGGTTATTTTAGAACAATGAGTATATATAACTTTTAAAATCAGAATGAAGATATTTTCCAAAAAATCCCAAGTTTGTAGATGCAGAAAGCATATTAGTGGCTGCCAGAAGTTGGGGGTGGGCAAAATGGGTGAAGGAAGTCAAAAGGTATACATTTTTAGTTATAAAATAAATAAGTCATGCATATGTGTGCAGCATTGTGACAATAGTTAATAGTACACTATTGCCAATTTGAAAGTTGCAAAGAGAGTACATCTGAAAAGTTCTTATCACAAGAAAAAAAATTCTGTAACTATGTATGGTGACAGATGTTAACTTAGACTTATTGTGATGATCATTTCACAATATATACAAATATCAAATCATTATATTATATCCCTGAAAGTAATATAATGTTGTTTGTCAGTTATACTGCAATTAAAAAAAAGAATGAAGGTATTTTCATTTTGGGGGAAAAAACCCCATACCGTCTCTTCCTTACATTCTAAGTAGGAAGTTATCACATGAGACATATTTAAATGATGCATTTAGTATTGTTATCATAAGTAGAATTACTATTATTTTAGCCAAAAATCATGCATTAATTTTTCAAATTCACACATTAAAAAAAACCTTTCCAAAATATTTTTTGCTTTTTTATGATTATAAACAACTTGAACAAAAATCTTTATATCTCCATATATTTCTTTAGAGTAAATTAGAAGAAGTTGAGGTTCTTTGGATATACTATAGACATTTAAAAAAACTTTTGTATGTCCTATTATTTTCCAGGAAGATTGTGCTCCTTTATGCTCCTACCAAAGGGTATAAGGGCATTTCCCAAATGCTTCCCACAATCCTGGGTATTGAATAAATTTGTTTAAAAAAATGCTGCTTTAGTCTTTATGCTGTTTGCATTTCTTTGATTAATAATTTGATTACAGAATTTTAAAAAATATTTATCACACATTTTTTCTAAATTACCTGCTCATGCCCTTTGCCTTTTTTTCTATTGAGATATTTCATTTTTCCGAGATAACAGAAGTTTAATATTTAAATAGTAAAAGATATTCAAGATTTGTTTATAAACATGGAAACTATTTCCCCTCATTGTCATTTTTTTTTCATAGTGAAAATAATATCATATTTCTAAATAGTCATATATTCTTTTTTAAAAAGCTTTATTGAGTTATAATGCATATACCATAGTTTACTCATTTAAAGTGTACAATTAAATGGTTTTTAATATATTCAGAGTTGCAACCATCACCACAATTAATCTTAGAACATTTTCATCACCCTAAAAAGAAACCTTTTACCCATTAGTAGTCACTCCACATTTATCCCAGAATCTCCCATAGTGGTAAAGCCTACCGCCCAACCCCTGCCATTAAGGAACCATAATCTATTTTTTGTCTTTATAGATTTGCCTATTTTGGACATTTCTTGTAAATGTAATCCTATGTTATGTGATCTTTTGTGATTTTTCTTTCACCTAGCCTGTGTTCAAGTTTCATCCATATTGGCAGGGAGGGTATAACTCAGTGGTAGAGCACATGCTTAGCATGCACAAGTTCCTGGGTTCAATCCTCAGTGCCTCTACTAAAAAAAAATAGATTCATCCATGTTGTAGCATACGTCAATACTTCATTCCTTTTTATTGCTAAATAATATTCCATTGTATGAATATACCACATTTTATGTATCCATTCATCAGTTGATGGACATTTGGGTTGTTTCTGCCTTTTGGCTTTTGTGAATAGTGCTGCTATGAATATTCACATACACATTTTCACTTGAACATTTATTTTCAATTCTTTGGGGTATATACGTAGGAGTTGAATTGCTAAGTCATGTGGTAGATCCATGTTTAACCTTTTGAGGAACTGCCAAACTGTTTTCTAAAGTGGCCAGACCATTTTGCAATCCAACCTACAATATATGAGGGTTCCAACTTTTCCATATCCTCACCAACACTTGTTACTTATTGTCTGTTTTTGTTTTTAATTTTAGCCCTCTTAGTGGATACGAACTGTATCTCATTATGGCTTTGGTTTGCATTTCCCTATGACTCATGTTAAGCATCATATCATGTGTTGATTGGCTGCTATCTGCTTTTACTTTTCTTCAAGGCACTTTGTCACATGGAGATTTTAAATTCGAATGTAATTCTGATTTAAATATGGACAGATGACTAAATACCACATCAAAACTTTGTGTCAAAATGAATTTTTTAAAAAATAAGTGGTATAAAAATGTAAATTTCTTTCTGATGTTTATTAAGTACAATCTAGTCAATACTTTTTTGATTTTCCAAACTGTGGCATATTCTTTCTGAGCATTGCACTCACCCTGAAGAGCTCCTCTGGGGGCTTATTTCCATCTAGCTCAATGAGATACTGAGAATTGTGTTCAGCCATTATTTCCTGCAGATAACAGAAGAAAAACCTCATCATTCAGGATCATTGGCAAAACTGAATATAAGATCAGAATCTTAATGTACCATGAAGGAATCTCTAAAGCTAAATTATTTGCTTTATGCCTCATGTAATGGATGTTATTTTCAGTGCTCAGGAGAGCTTTTTACAAAAGCTTAGTCTTCTTACCATGAATTTTACTCTCTTCCTGTTTTTTCTGTTTTTCTCTACACTGAAATCTTAGAATCATCCCCAGTAGAAAGTGTTTGGGGGCCTCTGTCTCTCTGCATATATTCATAGAATAGTTTCTGCCAAACTGCTAGTCGAAGAATGGTATTAATTCATTTCACTTTTTATCCCCCTGGCTGTGGGTGATGTTCAGCATCCAGATATCCATCTCTGTGAACTGCCTAACCATAATCTCTGTGCAATTTTCTGTTAGACTCCTTCTTTTCCTTAACATTCATAGAAAGTCTTAACCAACCATTATGGATTGCAAATATTTTACCTTGCTATGATTTATCTTTTCACTTCATTTATGGTATCTTCTGCAATATAAAATTTTTATGATGAAATCTGTTCTCATTGTTTTTAGATTTCCTTTCTTGCTTAAATTAGGTTTTCTCTATCTCAAAGTTATGTTAATATTCTTGTAAATTTTTTTCCACTTTTTTTTTTACTATTAAAATCTAAAATCCACTGGATTTTATTTTTGTACATTGGCAAAGTTGAACTGTATCTGAGCCTTGTGTTCCCAGAAAGGGATGGTGGGAGATAAGACCCACCTCCACCCTTTCTCAAGGACTCAGATAAGATCCATTTCCATCTTTTTGCATGATTCCCATTAGACTCGAGGATTTACCTGCCTTGTTTACCTGCCTCCATAAAGCCCCGGCCCCCCTTTCTTTTCTTTGAGAAAGTCCTCATTAATGAGCATTCTCCCTGTTGCAATAGTCTGAACAAAATCATCTCCTTAATTGTCCGGTGCATTTTGTTTTTCATAATATTGTGCGAGGTTGGGTTCTAAGTGTTTTTCTTCTAGGCAGAAGGAACATTATGCCAGCATTATTAATTTAACCATAAATAACCATGTTCTGAACAATGATACATTATGCTTTTCTGCATTTCAGATTCTTTCCTTAAGCTAGATTCTTAAGAGTGGATTTACTAGGTCTAAGGGTATGAACACTCATAAGGCTAAAGATAAATACACCAGGTCAGATCAGGAAGGAGTCAAGCTAGGATTTGAAGACAGGGGAGAATGAGGACTTGGCCTTGGATTACTCCTGAAGAAGGATATAAACCAGAAAATGATGCAGTTTAGTTTGCTTCCACCTGCTTTCCTCATGTCTTTTGGAGGAACATTGAATTTTGGTGGTCTTGGCCTCCCAAGTGAACTGACATCTCAGCCAGGTCAGAGGAAACTAGAATTGTTGCTGGCTCTTGCCTTTTAAGGGTCTCTCTCCCCTCCTACCACATATACCAGTACCTGGAATTACCATATAAAGCAGTTATTTTACTGTTTAGCAAGTGTTACCTAGGCCTAAAGTTTAGGTTCTTGGCTTTGAAATTCTTGCTCTGCTGGCACTAGGACAATCAATTTTTGTCTATGCTTTGCTACAGAGCCTAGAGGTTTTCCACTTCTGGGCTTTTTTGGACAAGCTATTTAAAAACCACCCTACTAATTTATATTCCTTTCAGCAGGATATGAGAGTGTTTGCTTTACCATATATACTTGCTGGAATTAAGAATTCTTATTCCTTGTTCATCGTTTAAAATTTGGTCATGGAAATATTTATTTATTTAGATTAACATTTCTTTATTATCAGTGAAGCTAAACATTTTTACAGGCTTGTTACTCTTTTGTCTTTCATTTTTGTGAATTGTCTGTTTATATTTATTGCCCATTTATCCTCAGGAGGGTGAGACCTTACGGGCTTAAAAAAATCATTTCTATGACCTCTTAATATATCAAAGCTTTAAATCCTTTCTCATACTTGATATGGATATTTTTCTAGTTTGTTGTCTTTTAATTTGGGTGAGGTTTTAAAAAAAACTATTTCCAGAAGTTTTACATGTAATGAAATTGAAGCTGTCATTTTTTTCCCTTGTGATCTCATCAGTTGTTCAGCTGAACATCTGTTAAGTATTTATCACTCGCCAGACTATGGGCACAGCACTGGGCATTGGTGATGCTAGGATGTAAGACCTTGTCCCTATCCTTGAAGAGACCATCTCTGCTTCCCACCCCAACACACTGCCCATGAGTACAGTTTTCTAATTTTCTGAATCTGATTTTAATTATGCTTTATTTCATACCCAACGCTAGTCACTTAAGAAATACGCAGAATATTTTTGTTGAAGGAGAAAGTACATTATAGATAGACATGTAAATTACCCTTAAGAAGCTATGTTTAAAGGCCAGGGATAGAAGAGGAAGAAGGGAGGAATCAAAGTCATACCTAAGAAAAGAAAAATACTAAATTACTATGCTGTATACCTGAAACTAACACAATATTGTAAACCAACTACAGTTAAAAAAAGAAAACATCTAATTTAGTTCTCATGGGAGGGGCGTAGACAATGGGAATTAAAATGATCTACTCGTCTCTAAAAATATATAAACATTATAAAACATCATGAAATAAATTCTTCTAGTTTCTCTATTAAACAGGAAGAGGCAACTTCTTTGTCTTTGTAGTTCTATCACTGATTATGGTATCTGGCCAAATACTAGACAATAAATATTTGCTGAATAAATCTCCAACACAAATTGGGCAGAGTCTGCCCTGGATTTTTAACCACAAAAATATGCTTTTCAATAATCATAATTTTAGTAAGCATACTTTAAAAATGCTAATCATTTTAATTAAAACTTTCCTATTACAATGTATAATGGCCTTAGCATGTTTACATATAATCAACTTTGAATGGGATAGCCAGAGAAGCCAGTTTGGGATAGCTCTTCTTTAGACTGCAATTTAACTAAATTAAACAATTCCTTTTCGAATAAAAGATGCACCTTAAGTGCATATTTGTTTTGATAAAACCATAAATTATGGATTGAAAATGTTTTTACAGAATAGTCTCTTAACATGGGCTTTCTAACCTTCAACCACAAATAAATTCCCCTAGTGACTTTTGAAAAATGCAATTCATTTATCACTTTTCAGCAACATTGCTGCTTTGTAAGAGTGAAATAATACTGGTCTGTGAAACAGCTTTTGGGATGAAGCCTTATTTTGACAGCATTCTACCAAGCTCAAGAGGAGGAGAATTGGACAGATAATACATGAGGTGAAGAAATGTGAAGGCTGTTTAGCTAGGGATAAAACAAAATTGACATTCCCATTTTTCAGCATACATCTTGTTCTTACTTCTAAAGGATGCAGAATTATATCCTTATAAAGTTTAACAGTGTGCTCGATATTTTCCAGATAATCCTCAGGCCTTTGAACTAGATGTTGAAGAATTTCAGCCACCATCTGCATTTCAGCAATAAATGCCTAAATGGAAAGAGATGTTAAATGTCTTTATGTTAACGATTACTTCATTTACAAGTCATACCCCTCCCTCCCTATACTTAGATGCCATTTTGGGGTGAGAAGCAGGGAGAAGGGAAGATGAGAAACTGAGGATTTTTATTTTAGAAAGATTGAACACCCCGGAGGGGTCTTTATCAGATGGAATAAAGCTTTAAATTGACTTGGATACTTGTTAATTTCTTTTTGCTCCCCAGTAAGTAGGGAAGAACAACCAGATTTTTAGAGACAGAATAAAGAAATTAGATTTTCTCTGAATACCTAAGCTTGTAGCTCATTGATTCATTCACTTAGTAATGATTGATTAAGTGCCTACTCTGTGCCAGACACTGTTCTAGGAACTTGAGATACAACAAAGAACAAAACTAAGACCCTGGGGCTCTTAGAGCTCACATCCCAGTTGGGGAAGACGAAGCATAACTAAGTAGACAAGTAGATACATCATAGTTAAGGTGGTGGTAGTAAGAGCTAGGAAGAAAGATGAGGCAGGGGAGAGGAGATAGAGAGTGATGGGAGAAGGTGGTCACAAAAGGGTTCTCTGAAGAAGTGACATTGAGTAGAGACACAGATTTCTGAAGAAAGAACATTTCAAGGCAGAGGGAATAGTATGTGCAGTTCTCAGCCCAAGACCTGCTAGGCATTCAGTATTATATTTATTATCCTACTATTGTCATCACAGTTATTATCTTAATTATTAATCATTTCTAGTTTTTATCAATACACAGGCATCCATATTTTATACAATTTGAATTGTATTATTATATAAGCCATTTCATAACCTGTTTGAAATGTTTTAAAATACTACTTGCACGGTCAAATAATACATTAACAGCCCTAAATATACAATTGTTTATTTTTCTGTATTTTTTCTTTTTTGCAGGGGAGGTAATTAGGTTTATCTCTTTCTTCATCCCCCCACAATTGCTTAATCATTATTCTGTAGTTGGACAAGAATGTTTCACAATTCTAAATAATGTTTCACTGAATAGCTTTGTAGATAAGTCTTTATATTGCTAACATTTTCCCTTAGAATAGTTCCTAAAAGTAGAATCACTGGACCAAAGATTGCACATTTCAAAGTGGCTTAATATACGGTATCTTTTCCAAAAGACGCTAATGTTCTTTTCTCTCTAGCAGAGGGCTTTGGTAGCACACTCCTGCATTCAGTCAGTATATAACTTCTTATTAAGCACCTACTATATGCCAAGCCTGTTACAGGCACAGGGGATACAGTCCCTGCTGCATACAGCTTCCATTCTTTGGATAGACAGATAATAAGCAAGTAAACAAATAAGATAATTTCAGAAAGTAAGTACTGTGAGAGAAATAAAGCAGGGTAAAAGGTTAGATTTGTGTCGTCCAGTGTGGTACTAGCTACAGGTACAGGTACTAGCATACTAGAAGTGTGGTAAGTGCGAATCCAATGTGCTGTGAGTGTCAAATACACACCAGATTACAAAAACTTAGCATGGAAAAGGAATGTACTGCTTTTAGAATTTTTCTGTTGATTTTATGTTGAAATAAAATTTTGGATATATGGTATTATATAAAACATATTATTAAAGATGACTTTCACCTGTTTCTTTTTACTTTTTAAAAAAGTGGCTATGAACATATTTAAAGTCATGTAAGGCAGGAATTTGTTTCTGGTTTAGAGAGTCACTTGCTGGCTGGTCTCTGAGGATGTCATCTGTAGGGTAGGGTGGAGTGATGAGTAGAAGCAGGCGCATGAAGAAGCTCTGGAAAAGCATGTGGTAGGCAGAGGGATTAGGAAACAGCCAGAGCAAAGGCTGGAGGTGCTACTGAGTTCAGCACAGTTGAAGCCTAGCGGGAAAGCCAACGCAGCTGGAATCCAGTGAGCAGACTGGGAGATGAGACCAGAGAGGCTGGGTCCATGGTTTTGTAAACCATGTGAGGGTGTTTGGATTTTCATCAACAGGTAATAGAAAGTCACGGACAGTCAAATTTTTTTTTTGAATGGAATGGAGTGGGAAGGGAAGGGTTGAGGAAAGTGGAAGCCAAGAGAACATTATTAAAGTTATTTCAGCAGTTCAGAGAGATTGCTCTCATTGTGTGTACAGAAGGTGAACATGTTCACTTGATTATTAGCCCTCAACCCAACTGGGTGGCAGGCTTGTCTGTCTGACTTATGACCATGGCTATTCCGCTAGGCAGAGATCACAGGAAACCAGGCCCCTGGGGCAGAATCCAATCTGAAGACATAATATGCTTATCTTTCCCGCTTATCTTTGGATAAGCTGCCAACTACTTTTATGTTAAAACACTGATTTTGGCTTCTCTGGAAAATCCAGACTACCTGATAAAAATAGGCTAGCATTTCCACATGGCAAAAGTGGGCTGGGCTGGAGCCGAGAGGCAGCTGTCCCCTAAAGAAGGACACATACTCTCCAGCTGTCCAATGGAACATTCTTCAGCAATGGAAACGTTCTGTGTCTGTGCTCTTCAGTTTGGAAGACACAGCAATATTTAGTCACTGAGCACTTGAAATGATGCTTGTGCTACTAAGGAACTTAATTTTAAATTTTATATAGTTGGAATTAATTGAAATCTATATAGGGCTAGTGACTACCATATTGGATGGTGCAGTCCTAGCCTACCCTGGTCCTCACTCTTTCCAATTAATGTCTGGTGGACATCACAGTTTGACATAACTGTGACGTCTGTAACTGAGTTGTGACCCCTCAATCTCACTATTTTTGATTTATAATGGTATTCGTTATTCGTGCTAAAATGACACACTTTTATTCCTATTTGCTATGAGGTTTGCCCTTTTAAAAATATCTGGAACAGATGCTGGGCATTATCTAATGCCTTAATTGCACAGGGAAGATTGTTTTGTTTTTAAATGGGCTTTCTTATATTAACAGGTTTTTTAAATAGAGATGTAATTGACATGTAACATTACATTTATTTCAGGTGTACAATATAATGATTCAATACAGCTGACCTTCGAGCAATGTGAGTTTGAACTGTGCAGGTCCACTCATAGGAGGATATTTTTCAATAGTAAATACTACAGTACTACATGATCTGCCATTGGTAGGATACAAAACCATGGATATGGAGGACTGACAGTAAAGTTAACTTGTATTTTCAACTGCATGTAGGGTCAGTGCCCCAACCCTGGAGTTGTTCAAGGGTCAGCTGTATTTGTATAATTGTGAAATGATCACAATAAGTCTAGTTAACATCCATCATCATACAGTTACAATTTTTTTCTTATGATGAGAACTTTTAAGATCTACTCTTAAATGAGAGAACAGATGTCAAAAATTCATTTAACTCATTAGTGAGGGAACTAGCAGGATGATAAAGCTGAAGTATATATAATCCCTGAAATAAGATTGCAAACTTAATAATAAGATTAAACAAGGCTGCTTAATATCCTACAGGGCAGTAAAAATGTAGCCTTTGGGTCTCATCTTGTCTACTAGGCAAATGATTTGCATTGTAGCCATCTATAAAATTAACATCTGACTTCACAGAGTCTAGGCCTAATAGAAATACTATTTCTTTATAATAATTTATAAATTATAGCAATTATTTAATTTCTGTATTTCATGAGAGCAAAGACTGCTCCCACCTCAGGGGACCAAATCCAGCCCATCACCCATTAACAGATTTCTTAATATCAAATTTCCTCATTAAGTCATGGTAGAAGATTCTTTCAAGGCCCTATTGCATTATGCTTACTAGCACTGACTTTAGTCTAGCTTGCATCATGCTTGACACATTGTAGGTGACCAGTAACTCTATTGCTGTGAAATGAAGCAGATTAGCTGTCAGTGTATGGAGGGACTTCTATACCGACAAGAAGATTAAACTTGATGACCTCCAGATGATGATCTAATAGTTCTTAAAAATATGAAATATTTTTGTATTTCCTCCAGACTAAATAAAAATTTAAAGAAACTGTAATTTTCTCTAGTATCTGCTATTTTCTATCAATCATGTTATCCTTTTAATTATAGTAAATTTAAAAAATTTATTATCCAGAACGGGATATTACCTCTTCTTCTTCTTGCTCTTCTTCCTCTTCCCCGTCCTCTTCTCCTTTTCCTTCCTTTTGGGCATCTTTCTTCTTTTTCCTACGTTTCTCAATGACTTCAGGATCCCACTGATCACTTGTGTATATGTATCCTGTAGTATCATGCTGCCTTTGCCCAGAAATTCTTTGGCATAAATCATAGTCAGGGCACTAAGGAACATTAGCGATCACTTAAAACATTTTGAATATGCCTTTACCTCCTATTCATATATTATGCAATACATAAACCTCAAAATTCCTTAAAGCCCTGAGCAAATGCTATACTGTAAATTGCATTTTGAATTAGATTTCATGTTCATTAGAAACATGCCAAGAGAGGCACAAGATACAACTTTTATCCTATGACAACATGTTTCTTTGCTCAAAAATAATATACATGAGAAAGTATCAAAAGCTCTAAGATTAAAAAAAAGGATTAGAAGAAGAGCAGAAAGAGCTATAGGATTGAAAATTAGTTTAGTCAGCAAAGGTACACAGGAGGACTCTGTCAGATTAGTTTGAAAAGGCTGGGAATGGACAAAAATGGAGGAATATCCACATTTTTCCAACAAAAAGTGAGGTATTTATAGTATTTACTATTATTTACAGCTTTATGAGTGAAGAATTTCATAAAATAGCGTCATGGATGGGACATTATCTATTCTACTGTGACGTTTTTGTTTTGTAAAAGAGAAAACTTGAGTCTGGGTAGTAAAAAAGGCCAAAACCAAAGTCTACAAGTAATTTTCTTGTTTCAAGTGCTTCCACATGTTTAATATTTTACTCAATTCTTAAACTAACTCAGTAAAAGAGCTAATCCAATATTATGATTAAAACCATTTTGCAGATCAGAGAAGGACTTCTCTGGCAGGTTAAGGATCTGGTCTCAGATCACAATGTCATGAGGGGAAACTACCACTCAGAATCAGGCCTTCTGAGCCCCAGCTCTGTCACACATTATTAATGATAAACTAAGGTTTTGAGCTATAATCCTGCTTTTAAAACTCTGGGCGACACTCTCTGGTAGTGGTTCTCAGACATTAGGGTGTAATTGTATACAGAGAGCCATAAGTAAAGATGTCTGCTTCCCCAGTAATTTATTAAGTCTGGAGTGAGGCTCAGACATCTAACAAGCATCCTTGGTAATTCTGATTCTGACAGTTCATGGGGCACAATTTTGAGAAACAAGGATGCAAGGAACTTTATTTTATTGGGGGGGATTAGCTTAATTAATTAATTTGAATGGAGGCACTGGGGATTGAACCCATGACCTTGAGCATGCTAGGCATGCACTCTACCACTGAACTATACCCTCCCCTGCCCCCCAGAAGCAAGAAACTCTAGTGCTTTTCATGCTCATTTTCCGATTTCTTCAGACCACCTCTAGATGGAGATAGGATGGGTACTTACTGAGGCAATATTTTGGGCTTCTTTCTTCTTTTTCTTAAGAAAAAGGCTTTTCTACAAGAAAGCCTAGTTAGGCTGTCTAATTTTTCATGAAAAAGATTTCAACCCATTCTGGTAATTTATTTAAAAAAATGTGTATTTGCATGCATTTGTATGTTTTGGCAATGAAGAATACCCACCTTGTGGGTTCTTGACAAAGACTGTTACCTTCAGCTGTCTCCTGTTTTCACTTGTAAGAAGTGATTAATTAATCTGAGGGTGAATCTGGGGGCTGTGCCTCAGAGCATTGGTTCTCAAACTTCAGTGAGCATCAGAGTCACCTGCAGTGCTTTTCAACACAGACAACTGGACACCACCCCCAGAGTTTCTGTAGTTCTGGGGTGGGCCCTGAGAATCTGCATTTCTAACAACTTCTTAAGTGCCACTAATGCAGTTGGCTAATGCAAAGTAGGACCAAACTCTTGAGAACCCCTGCTATACTAGATCACTGGCCCTTAACCTTTTTTGGTTTTTTTGGTTTGTTTTGGGAGTACAGACCCCTTCAGAACATGATGAAAGCCATAGGCTTTTGCTTCAGAAAAATGCCCATACACATAAAATTTGCATTTAATTTTAGGAGGTTCACAGATGCTTAAGGATTCATGGATCCCAAGCCAGAAACATCTGCTTTAGAAATCCCAGACTTTATCCCCAGTAAGGCCAAACCATCAGAGCAGTGTGTGCTGTACTGAGTTCTGTCTCATATTCGGCCCTCTGATTATGCCCTGGCTGCCTGTGGAAACTGCCATGGACACCCAGTATCACACTTCTGTGGAGTTACGGGTTTCATTCTCTACATTAACAATCCATATGGAAGACAGTTCTCTCATTTTGTTTTTCCTGGTGAATGGCTTGTCTTTTTGTGGACAATGTGAATTTATATATCTGGTCACATTTCCCCTCGGTTCATCAAACTTAGAACCAAATTTATGACCCAAATTTAGTGAGTATCTGGGTCCTTGTGGCCTGTATATCTGTGTGTTCTTGTTCCACTAGGTCTTAATTTCCTATATAATCTATATTTTCCATGGCCTAGGCTTTATATTTGGTTTCAGTTAATTGAGATTTTTTTCTTCTCTCCATTATATGCACTTTCACATGTTCACATGGGTGACATGCTCAAGGTTGTACATTGGCCTCTGACCATGACCTGTGGCTGGGGCTGCAGATGACACCACACTCAGCACTGCACACCACCCTTCTCTCACAGCTGGCACTAACATGCCACTGAGTCCCAGCGTCTGAGCTGAGAACCATCTAATTTATTTTGAGTTATCAAACCCTTTGGTGAGTCAGACAGGGTATTATAAAAGCTTATCATTCATTTTCAAATAAACAAGTGATCCTCACCTCACTGCATTCTTACCACACTCCTATGAGGCAGCTATCTTTGTATCATCTTTGTAAAGAGGAAATTGAGGCTCCTAAATGTGATTTACCAAATTCTACAGTTGATAAAGGAGAGAATTCAGAACAGGACCCAGTATTGATTCTTAACTAATCTAGCATTATTCTTTAACATTCATACATCCAAATCATTTGTTCATTCTTTCATTTTACTTAGCTGGCAAACTTATTAGGTATCTACTCAGTACCATTTATTGCACAAGTTGATGTTTATAGGAGTAAAACATGGTTCCTGCCTTCAAATAAGGCAGAATCTAGAAGGAAAACGGACAATTACAATACAGTGAAGTAATATGATGGAAAAGAGCAACATGAATGGTCATCAGAGAAGTATTTAACTTTCCTGTGGTGAGTCAGGTGTAGGGGATAAGGAGAGAGAGACACGGAATGAGACTAAGTTAATGCTTGTGTTAGTGTAGAAGGGCTGGTCATCAGGGAAAGTTCTGCAGAGATGATGCATGAACTGACTTTCGAAGGATGGTGAAGAGACAAGGAGGTGTTTCCTATGGTTGGAGCTGTAGGTGCAAAAGCACAGAGGTATGAGAAAATAGAATTCAGTCCCCATCATTGATGCATGAATTATTTTCCTAACTCCTTAAAAAATTTGAAAACATTCCTTGAATTTAACTACTATCAAAGAGAATGATTAACTATACTAGAAAGACAACTAATATTCTTACCTTAATATTGATTATAATATCAGGTTTCAAATTTAACTTTCTAATTAATTCTATTTGCTGCAAAGTAGTCATGGCATCCTGTGAAAGTGATGGCATTTCAGTGATAATATAGCCTGTAGAGTAAAATATAATTTTAAAGGTTTATCAATATATGAGAACATGGGTTTATTATTACTGCTTTATAAAACTATCATCTAGTTATTGATGAATACTAATGCTGGTCTTAAAATCATCAGTCAACATTTTAAAATTGATAGTTAAAGTTATTACCACATGTAGTATAACTGTGAATAATGTTTTTCTGATAATAAATAAAACCACTCAGCTAGGAGGAAACATCTTTAAAAATTCCAAATCAATTTATTTTAGGCACTTGAGGTGCCTATGGAAGGAAATTCCATGTCAATAATTCTTTCAACTCATGTTAGGAAAGTTCATATGATGAATAGTAAAGGTATAGTATAGGGGTTGCATGGGGTATTATTTTTCTTTCTTGAATTAATATTTAATAATATAATTGAATATATATGTATATAATTGAATATCTATGTATATAATGTTTATGTAAGTTATAGAGAGTAATAATATACCCATGTACCCCTCATACATTTTAAGAAACAGAACATTATCAATGTGATTTTGGCTTAGCACATTTATTGGCTTACATCCCTCCTCAGAAACCTAAATCTTCTCATTAAAATTCACCCTGGATACCATCATCATATTAATTTCCTTATTATATTTCTTTAATTATGTCACTCTCTTGCTTGAGAAACCTTTCTCTTGTTAATAGAATAAAGTCTCAACTCCTTTACTGGAAATTAAAGGCCTTCAACCAATTTTTCTCCTGTTTTAATAGGACATTTTTTCTGGGAGGAACAACTGACAGACAAACTATGGTTATTCAACTTTGACTTTTAACAAACACTTTATAAAAAGTGAATGGAGTGAGGCTGTCACTTCAAGGACAACTGACAGTACTTGTTGCTAATTAAAATTCAAGTGAAAAGTTAAATTTTGGAAAACGTGTATCCATCGCTATAAACTAAACAGCTACCCAATTCTTAAAGCTTTTCCTGATATTAGTGATGACATTAACAAATGTGACTTTTTGATAATGTATAATGAAATGTGTCAAAATTTGGAAGATCTGCAAAACTCAGTGAACCAGTATTTTCCAAATGACCAACGGATGGTGCCCCCAAATTCTGCATGGGTACAAGACCCATTCTAGGTGCCAGAGGGACCAATGGATTTTAATGTAACAGATTTTGAAAAGTTCATTGACATGGTTTCCAATTCCACAGTGCAACCAAACTTTAAGAAACTTCCCCTTATAGAGTTTTGGTGTCGGATCAAGAATATCCACTTATTCTAAAGGCCATTAAAATACTCCTCCCTTTTCCAACTACATGTCTGTGTGAAACTGGATTTTCTTCATATACTTCAACAAAAACAACTTATTGCAACAGACTGAACAGAAGGTGTGGGATTCCAGCTAGGTCTTCTCTTAAGCCAGACATTAAAAAGATTTGCAAATATGTGAAACAATACCACTCCTCCCACTAAATTTTTTGTTTTGAAGAATTTGTTTTTCAGAAAACATGCTATTAATGTTAACATGCAGTGATTTTATTATTTTAAGGAAAAGTTTATACATTTTTTTAGTTTTAATTTCTAATATGATAAATACAGACAGATAAAAACAAAAGCTCTTTTGGGGCCTCAACAATTCTTGTAAGTGTAAAGGAGTCTTGAGACCCAAAAGTTTGAGAAATGCTATCATATACAATGCCTAAAATTGTGTAATTAAAGAAGTTACAGTTGAGGGAGGGTATAGCTCAGTGCTGGAGGGCATGCCTAGGATGCACAAAGTCCTGGGTTCAAGCTCCAATAAAAGTAAATAAATAAATCTAATTACCTCTCTCCCAAAAAAAACCAAAAATAAATTTAAAATAAAATTTTAAAAAATGTTAAAAAAAATTTTTAAAAAGTTACTAAGCATCTGTTGATTGATGAATGAATGAATGTGTCTAGTAAGCCAACCTCAAAATCCTCACTTAAGAACATGCTGATCATAGTCTTTTATTTTAAAAAAAACCAGATCAACAGCTATCATGGAAATCCAAAATCTCATTAAACGCTTGGGCAGATGCCTATTTCTCCTAAGCTTTCTCAAATACTTTATTTTCTGCTAACTATGTGTTGGACACTACCCAGAGAAGCAATCCTAAGTAGTTTAACTTCAAAAGGCAGAAAGCAGGACCTGTTATCTTGGTCTTAGATGGAAGAGCTATAATCATGATTCTCTCTTGTCTTTCTAAAATCCTTAGTTTCCAGTTTGGCTTATTCATTTGCACTTGCTGTTGTCTTTCAAACACTTTGAAATAGTGGAATAGTCGTGGTATCCTAAGGCATCCATCCGGAGGCTTTTTTTGTTTTTTTTCCCCTGAGGCTTTTTAAATGAGCCTGACACATCATGGGAAAACACAGCCAGTGCACCGTCTCAGGACTGGCCAGACCTTTCTCCTCCTGTTCTTGTTTTTTGCTCTCCTGGCTCCGCACTCACCTAGTTTGGTTTGGCTCCTATTGTTAATCTAGCCCTTACTTGATTAACAACCTTATTTGAATTCGTTTTCAAGGCTGACCAGTGCCTCCCCTGGGACATGATGACTGGTGATAACCCCCTGGTCTGACATACTCAACCATGGGTACTTCGGTGAGGGGGGCTGCATAGCCTAGCCTTGGATTGAATTCAACCCTTGCCCAGTTTACTACTGATTGGATAATTTCAGAGACCAGTCAGTCCCCAGAGTTCGTGTCCTCTCCTGACTAACAAGGGATTACACAAGACTTCCCTCCCGTTCCCTCTGCTGCCAACACCGCCTGACATCTGGGTATCACAGGTGGGTGACAGAAAGATGCTATCCTCTGTTTGCTGTGCTCTCCAGCACCCTGCACATTACTCCAACCAGCTGCCCGGAGAGCTTATCAGGCATTCCAAGTGCGGCTTTTCAGGCATGCTAAACCTTAGAGATACCCCTATATTGGAATGAGTTTCATACTTGATCTCTTTCCTGGTAGAGGCAGAAGAGGAGTGGGTTGTTTCCATGGAGTCTGGCTCTCTCTTGATAGGCCAGTATTTGGGCTCCCTGAACCCAAACCCTGTTCTGAACAATGGATTTGGAGGCTCTACCCATTGAGAGTGGCCACCATGATTATATCCAGACCCTAGGAATATATCTATGGAAAAGGTGTGGGAGACAAGAGTTACGTTGCTTGCTTGTGTCCCCATTGAAGATTTAGAGAAGAATAAGAATTAGACCCAATTTGGGGAAGATCTCAGGGGGATACTTCTTAGAGCTGCCAGGCCCACTGTCAACCTCTCTAATCCCGGACACATGTGAAGATGGAAGCATAGATGAGGATTCTCCCTCCTGTCCCATCTCGCTTTGACACCATTACCAAGTCCTCCATGCTGCCCTCCACGCTGAAGATGGAGCAATGACAGACCCCAAACCACTACTTGCTGGAGGCTCTGTGTACACCATAAGAGGCAGGGTAGGCACCTGGCAAGCTAGTGCCCAGCCTGAATAACCCCCACCATGGGAAAACTGAAAGACTATTCACACCACTGCCCAGGGGAAACCAACTGGCCCCTACCATCACTTTGCCCCCACTTCCTGGCACAGTAGGAAGAAAAAGGTACTCCCTATACCCACAAAACAGAAGATGGCATGCTACTGCTTTTAGATCAACATGTTGAGAGGTTCATGGACATTGGGTAGCTTAGCATCTAACCAGCCTGACAGTCATCTCACCTCAGGCCAGCCTGACACGAGTGGACACACTGGTGACCAATGACTTGCAGTACCATCCACAATGTGATACACCTGGGGCAGGGAATTCCCAGACCAGGGCTGTCCATCACTCACTGGGGAAAATGAGTTTTTCTGGAATCTAGAAGGAGGAAGCGAGAGGGGCTTCTCAAGATGCCCAGGAATTGACTTCTACATTTTTCTCTTGGGCGAGGATGTAGTTCTTAGAAGTTGATTTTGGCTCAAGGCCAACACAGCACAACAGTTGTATAGAATATACACTATAGATGGTGTAAACTTCTTCTAAATAGCAATAGAAGCTCCAAGTATAAAAGGGTTCTGGTACAGAAAAAAATTAAGATTCGATCTGGCAATACTTTACTGTGCAGTGTCCCTGGCAGGACATACCCATCTTTACAGGTTTTGTAGTTATCAATTACCCAGCCTCACCCAGCCCCTGACCCAAGTTAGTATCTCTGTTTTGAAAGCCCTTCACTTCCGATTTTGCTTCTACCTTTCACCAAGCTGCTGGGTAAGACCAAACGTCAGAACCAACCTTTGCTTAGCAGAGGCTTTCAAATTGTATAGCAGGCTGCTAGGTTCCAAAGAAATTCCTTTGGGGATGCTATAGAATGGGTGAGGGGAGGCTGGGCAGAAGGAGCTCAAGGTCTGGCCCCAACTGTAGCCTTTAAATGAGCCCAGCTGTGCATGCCTAGAATGTGACCATGCAATTGCCTGCTGATAGTGTGGCCCTCAGACTCAAGAAATCATTTTTACCACTTTTCCTCTGCCAGCTCCCAGGACAAGTACCAGTGTACAGGAAGTCTAGGGGAAGGACTAATACATTAAATGATACCAGAGGGTACCATCATCAAAATCCAGATGGTAGGAAACTCTAAAAGACAAACAACCAGTTTCTTTAGCATAAAAAACACAAGATGATAGAAAGAGGTAGGGGCAACTTATAGATTAAAAGGGATTTGTGACATACTGATCAATATGTAAAACCTTATTCAAAAACAAACATTGTAAATGTCCAGCAACAGATGACTGGATAAAGAAGATGTGGTATATTTATACAATGGAATACTATTCAGCCATAAAAATGACAACATAACACCATTTGCAACAACATGGATGTCCCTGGAGAATGTCATTCTAAGTGAAGTAAACCAGAAAGAGAAAGAAAAATACCATATGAGATCACTCATATGTGGAATCTTAAAAAAAAAAAAAGGAGCATAAATACAAAACAGACTCATAAACATAGAATACAAACTTGTGGTTGCCAAGGGGGTGGGGGTGGGAAGGGACAGACTGGGATTTCAAAATTTGTAGATACTGACAGGCATATGCAGAATAGATAAACAAGATTATACTATAGCACAGGGAAATATATACAAGATCCTGTGGTAGATCACATTGGGAAAAAATGTGACAATGAATATATGTATGTTCATGTATAACTGAAAAATTGTGTTCTACACTGGAATTTGACACAACATTGTAAAATGACTATAACTCAATAAAAAAATGTTTAAAAAAAACAACGGACACCAACCAACTATATGAGACAAATAGTGAAATTTGACCACAGACTGATTAGTAGATGATTTATTATTAATTTTTTAGGTATGATCATGGTAATGTGATAATACATTTTAAAAGAGTCTTTATCTTTTTGAGATTTATACTAAAACATTTATAGATGAACTGATATGATATGGATTAGCTTAAAAACGAAGTAGGTTGGGGGAGGGGTGTAGGCAGAGGCATAGATGAAAGATGAGACAAGAATAGTCATTACTGATGTTGGTTGATGGACACATGGGGGTGGATTTTATATCAATCTCTCTACTTCTGTTTGAAATTTTCCATAATAAGAAGTTAAAAGGGTTATGAACACTGTGAATGGCATAGCTGAATAGATATATTTTTTCTCTTTTTACCAATACTTATAATTTATGCTGTCTTTTTGTGGCCATGTAAATCACTCAGTTTTTTCAAGAGTAAGGTGAGGTAAAGAATAAACAAAAAGATATTTGCTTGGGGAGGCGTGGCAAAAAAAAAAAAGATATTTGCTTGCCTACCTTTATACCTGCTTCAGTTTCAATCACTATACTTTCTGACGTCATTTAGTGACCTATGTTGGAATTTTGTGATTGTCCTTTTTACCTTTTTATTCATTTTACTCCCCACATTCTGGGGTTTTTTCCCAAGTTCATTCTCTTTATTATGCTAATTCAATAGATAAATGCATAGAGAGGTAGATGAGAGTGTACATATGTAAGAAATAAAGGAGATGATATGTGGATATATACATGGATTAATATATAGTTCATTCTGTATATAATATATATAGGTCTACCTATAGATATAGATGATATAGATATAGATTGCAGTAACAAGTGTGTTTTTGCAACTTCCATTTTTGATTTTCACTGTACTGCACTTTATTAGTATCCCTATATCCTAATCATCACAATGTCCCCTCTTAACTTACTGAGAATATAAAGCAGATCTCTAAATTTTTCTTCTCTCATTCAGTAAATCTATTTCAAGTGGGTGATTTTCTCCCAAACACATCTTTATTCTTCTTCCCTCTTTTGCAAATGCCATAGCGTTTGCTCTCTTCTTTTTAGTCATTCTGAGCTTCAGGAGTCTTTGTCTTGAGAAATTAGGTCCAAACCCCTGTTCAGCATCCGTTCGAGGGCAGGGAGATTTCTTGGGTCCAGAGTCAGAGGGCAGACTGGATGAACAGGTGAAGCCAACCAATATCTGGAGCCAGAGGGTAAACTGGTGCTATTCTAGTTCCTATTCCTGCCTTATAAGTGTGAATTAGTGCAGAGCAACGTAACCATTGACAGGACTTAGTAATGAAACTCAAGGTGAATGGAAAAGCAGGCAGCAGAGGCTGTCAGCATTGAATGTAGGACCACAACAGATTTTTGATGCTTCAGCTGGACAACACATTATTAAAAGAAGATCAAATCATATAAGCTTAATTTTTTTAAACAAATGTAGGTTCTGAAGGATAAAAACACAAGTTAACAAGCAAATAAAGCCGTCTGAGCTAATCAACTGAATTCAGACTCTGGGATTCCTGTGCCAGGGCAAAAGAAAAAAAAAAGGGGCAACTCCAGGAATTATTTGTGTCTCAGATAAACCATGAGTTTTGAGGCTGCTTTGATAGCCATTGATGTATAAAAATAAACATACCAAAGTGAGAGACTTCTGGGGAATTGAGCTTCTCCAGTATCAGCTTTGTGACAAGTTCATCTGGAATGCTTTGGCCTCTGATCAACATCGACTGCAACTAAGAACAAGCAGAGATATTGTACATGACTGTATAATGGGTCTGTGATACTGAGCTTTTTAAAGAAATCATAACAATTTTGAAACTTAAGATTTATTTACCATAACTCCTGATTTAGTTTCACTGGCAATGTGTTCTTCCAAAATTGGTAAAGCTACAATATGAATTCAAAATATTAGCACAAACTGGTACTAGAATTGCCAAATTGAGAAACAGATTTGTGTGTTTTATAACAGGTAACAAAGATTAACATTTGTTTATCACTTTAGAATTTACAAAGCACATTTATTCACATTATGTCATTTAAGCCCAACCAAAGTACAAGGTAGCAGAATGTATTCCACAGAGAACTCGCCTCCACTCGCTAGCTAAAAGATCTTGGGGAAGCTAACTTCCTAAACACCTTTGCACCTTGCATGCTTGTGCCCTATGTAGTATGCAAGGGAATATGAGGAAGAAACGAAGTTGTATATGACAGTGATTTGGAAATTGTAAAGTATAGCATAAACGTATACCCTAGTATTACTAGTCCAGATACTTCATAACCGTACAGTTACATCCAGAGCCCATATTTTGCACATAATTTTGCATACTGGTTGTATAAAAGGAAAATACGCATCAAGAAATGTTAAAAATAGATAAACGCTGATTAGGAAACAGGGGCCCTGAGGCTGAAATTCCAATAATTTGTCTCCTTTTTAAGAGGAAATATTTCTTCACATGATGGACGATATCCTGGGATAGAAATGACAGGGGGAAGGTCAAGGGGAGGACCTAGGAGCTGATTATGTCCCTAGCTGCTAATAATCTATGGACTGTTTGGTATTTTTTTAAGCTTTCCTATTAGTGAATTTTATTTTAATAAAGAAAGAGGGAAATTGTAAAGTTTTGTATATGTGTGTGTTATATGTTACCGAATTATTATTCCCAAAATTGTATCAGGTCTCAGTTTCACTAACAGCATGTGGAATGCTCATTTGATAACATCCTTGCCAACAATGATGGTAGAAACTTTAAAGATTCAGTGCCAATTTAGTAGGCAAATATGCATCAGCATTATTTTAATTAGCATGTCCTTGAATAACAATGAAGTTAAACCTTTTTCTTACGTTTGTCCATTTTTATTTCTACTTTTATGAATTACAGATTCATTCTCTTGCTTATTTTTCTATTAAGGCATAAACAGCATTACTGATTAAGTGAATATTTATATACAAAGATATCAATCCTCATCTTATATATTGCAAAGAATGCAAAGCAAATCATAAACAATAAAAAATAAAATTTATCACTGAAAATAACTAAGTCCTGGAAAATCCTGCCAAGATTTCTCCCAAGCTGTGAGAGTTCCATCTCTTCTTATCTTTCATAGGGGGAACACCCCAAACACACATATCCCCAATAGCTCTAAATTATGGAATTAGAGAATTAGAGGCAGTAGAATAGAGTCAAAGACATTTCATAAACCTCCTAAATTCTATGAACAAAACTAGGACTAACAAAAGGGCAAAACATGTCTGATGCTATCACAAAGGTAGTATTCACTGGGTTCATAGTGTTGTGTGATAAAGAAAATACAGCAAATGTTAATCATAGAATCTGGGTGGTGAGTAGATGGGTATATGAATGTTCACTGTATACTCCTTTACATTTTAATGCATATTTGAAAGTTTTCATAATAAAATATTGGGGAAAAAGGATAAAATTTACCTTCTACACGAATACATCTCCATGTCTGTGATATCTGTTGGGCTAATGTTGTCTTCCCAACCCCCTTAAAAAGAAAGATGTTATTTAAAATCCAATAGAATAGCTATTTGCCAATAAAACATATTCTCATTTTTAAGGACTCTACTGATGGTTACTACAATTACATAAATATTATCAAGTTGAGTTTTTCCCACATAATAAAGAGTAGACCCTAGTATTTACAGCTTCATTTTTCTCTGTCACATTTGCCACATTTTATGAAGTGATATAAATATTTTTTTAATTAAGAAAATAGTCCTGAAACTAGAAAGCTGTACCATAATGATATTCTAGGTATTGCACTGTTTTGATTGTTAAATTTTGTAATTTTGAATACAAGTCATTGTGATTCTATGGAGATTCATCATTTTATTTCCTTCCTAAAGTTTATAATCATGAACGTTTTGACAGATTTCCATTTAGTAACTTTCAAGGGCAAAAAATTCCTTCTTAATTGACATCTTACAGAAGGATCATATTTTAAAGATAAAAGTTCACTTTAATGAAGTAATATTTGCATCTGATTGCTTTCACTGTTGACTTTTAAAACTCTAATTATGTTTTTAGAAATCTAGTGAAAGTTATTGGAACCATTTCTTGGTTCCTGTCCCAGGGTCCCTGTAAAATCAAGTCAAGGATAGGATCCAGCCCCTAGTCTCTGCTGTTCTGAAGAGGCTTTTAAATTAACCAGCTCAGGCCCTCTAAGGGTAGCTACCAACTAGCTCAGTGGCTGAAAAAAGCTCTTATCTAGAGGTCCTTACTAGAACTGCCTAGGAAGGCAATCTATCTTACAACAGCCACTCTTGGCTTCTTCCTGTTTTGTAGAAAGATAATAAATAAGTCTACTAATACACTATGAATAAAGATGAAGCCCATCGCCTCTCAGTAGCTTCTGTTATTAATGGAGAATCTTACATTTGTCTCTATAGTGCCCCACCTTCACACATCCAGAGAGCCTCACAACAAATTTCACAGAACGTTTTATATGCAAATTGAATGTGAAATAGCCTTGGATCACATACCACTAACAGTTGTCATGGTGCAGTGCTTTGATGAGTTGATTTATTCATAATATAAAAACAAAGGTAAATACAATCTAGATTCCTTTTCACTTACAGTGTACAAGAGGACAGAAAGTTATAACTTACAACCAATAGTATATCAGATTTTAAGTCATACAATGAAAGTCTAACAAACACTCAAAAAAATTAGCACCCTAGGTGGTTCTCATTCTTGTATGGTAACAGAAGATTATGACTTTAAAAATTGAAAAAATTAAATAAGTTAGAAGAGATAACTTACTGGTTTCCCAAATACAACAAAGCAAACAGGTTTAGACAACATAAAGTTTTTTTCAGCTTCATCTTCATTAAATATATCCACAAAAGGATGCTCTTCTGTCTTCTCTTGAGAAGTCATAATACAAAATACTACAGTAAGAAAGAGTAAGATTGTTAAAGTACCTAATTTAGGAGGAACGGGCATGCAGGTTAGGGAGAAATAGAATATCCTGCGGATTTGCTTAGCCCAGAAGCCATTCCACCCCACTATACACATGGATTTTGCCAATAATGGCAAATAAGTTAAACTGATCTATTAAAATAGTAGTAAGTTCATAGTTTGAGACAAAAAGCAAAAGCCAGCTATATGCTACATAAAAGATAGTTAAAATAAAGGGTTTTTGAAAGACTAAATTAAGGGAAAAAATAAATATATGTATACATACAATGTATGTTTTGATGTGTGTATTCCCTTAAAGATCAAGTTAGTGTACATACAACCAAACAAAAAGCCAATAGCAAATACTTAAAAAAAGTTATACATATATACACATATACATTTGTCTATGTGTATGTGTGTAGGGCCTACTAATGGCTCTGAAAGAAATGCTAAAAAATTAGAAAATATGTAGGACTGAAAAATAATGAAAATAATATACAGCAAAACTTATAATATGTAGCCAAAATAGTATTTAGAAACTTTAAACATCTACACTAGAACCAAAGAAAGTCTGAAAAGTAATGAGAGAAGCACACAAGTTAAGAGGGTAGAAAAACAGGAAAAATGGAAAAATACATTTTAAAAATTAATAAAATAGAAAACAAACATTATAGAAAGAAGGTCAACAAAGCTAAATAGTGGTATTTTGAAAAGACTTGTAAATAGAAAACTCCTGTCAAGATTGATCAAGAACAGAAGATAGAAGACACAATTAAACAATATTAGACATTAGTTTTTCACAAGTATGTTTTCTTACATCTCAAAGCTAAGATTTTCCTATCTCTTTGTTGTTGTTATTTCTAACTTTCATTATAGTCAAAGAATGGTCTCCGTATTATATTAATTTGTTGAGTCTTGCCTTACTGCCTAGCACATCATAATTTAAAAAAAAAATCCCTGTATCCTTGAAGAAGATACGCAATTTACATTTATCTGATGTAATGTTCTTTAAATGCTGTTTACATCAAGTTTGCGAATTTTATTGGTTAAATCTTCCATAATGCTTACTGACTTATCTACTTGATCAAACAATATTAGACATAGAAATGAGGAAGGACCAAAGAGGTAATAATGCTGCAGAAACATAGATAATGAGAGGATATCATAAACAAAGTTATCCAAGTAAATTTGAAAACTTAAGCAAAATTGACAGATTACTAGAAAAATCAGCTTCTTAGGGAAAAAAGGAAACCCGAGTGGTTCTATAACCCTTAAAGAAACTGAATCAGTAACTAAAAATTTTCCCAAAGGAAACCAGGGGGTTTTATTGAAGTGCTCCAAGTCTTATAATCTTATAGACACTCTTTCAAAGAAAAGATAAAATGGAGACTTCTTACATCAGTTTATGGGACTCATACAACCTCCATACCTAAACCAGAGACTAGAGTGAAAAAGCAAAATTATATGCCAGATTTATTCATGAACAAGATTTTTAAAAACCCTAATCAAAATATCAGCAAGTTGAATCCAGCAATATATAAAGTTAAAAACATCATGACAAAGCTGGGTTTTCCCCAAGAACTCAAGCATGGTATAATATGAGAAAATTAATTTGTTGTATTAAAATAAATTTAAGGAGAAAAACTGTATGATCATCTTAATAGATACAGAAAAAGTATGAGACAATTTAACACCCTTTAATGATCAATAAAAGATAAACCTCTTAGCAATTAGGAATAGAAGGGACCTTCTTTTATTGGCAAAGACATGAACAAAAGACAATCATTATATTTAATGATTAAGTATTTAAAATGGATCTTTTTAAGACGAAAGACAGAAAACTATAATTATTTCCAGTTGATATGATTGTCTATATAGAAAACCCAAATATATCACAGATAAATTTTAAGAATTAATGAGATAATCCAATTTGCTGAATTAAAAATCATTATACAAAATTCAGTTGTATTTTTATACATCAAAAATAGCTATAAAATGTAACCAAAACAAATATGACTTAGCAGCAAAAATATAAAGTAACCAGAATTAAATATAACAAAAGATATACAAGCCTTTTTATAGAAAAATTACAAAATCTTAAGGAATAGACTTTTAATGAGCAGACTTGAAAAATGGAACAAAACTATGTCCCAGTGGTCTGGAATATTGTTCACAGAACTATAAAAAATGGACTAGAGGGGGCTATATACTTCCACATAAAAGTGATATGATTATGTTTCTCTGTGGAAGTTAAGAATATTCAAATGGGTTTAATATACCAATATTGTTTTAATATGACATTATGAAACAAAATATAGTAAAAAATATTACTTACTAGTATATTGAAAAGATTTGAGATGAAAACTTCATGAACCAAAGGGCTGAAATTTCAAGATTTTAAAAAATACCAGCAAAATAAGTAATGCTGTAAGATGTAGTATAAAGGGGAAAAGGCATCTAAACCTTTTAGAGAGATGGTGCATTTATTGAGTCTCCGTAAATACACTAAAACCAGGGCCCTACGGCCTGGGATGGGGATATCTAGGTGGATGTCTGAGAATCCCAAGATTACACCCAAATGCTCTGCATTAACAGAAGTAGCCTTCTTAGTTCTGGAAGGTAGCAGCTTCTCCTTGCCAAACCTGAGGCAGATGCCTCAGCAGACAATATTTGCCCTCTACAAGATCTGCCTTTATGTTCTCTCATAGCTCCAAGAGCAATAACTGGGGTCAAATGTCAGGGCAGCCCACCTGGGGAGGCACTAGTACAGGAAGAAAAGTATCATGCACCTGAAGGGCTCCAGGGCCTGGGTATGATGCACTGACAAGAACCAGGAGAGCACACCTGGCAAAGATCTTGAGGGTGTCAGGTGGAGGAATGTAGACTAGAGCAGAGTTTATTTGACATGTGTACCCTCTCCCATGACTCATGGTTTATCATCCTGGCTAGGACACCTGGAGCAAGTCCTAATTCAAGGCTGGTAAGATTCCTTGAAGCTTGGGGAAAAAGACAACAGACAGTAAATGAGGTGGAAATGCCGGAACTGCCTTGGCATAGCCCAGAGAAAGTGTTAAAGGCTCAACAAAGGTGCCATGTGAAATGGATTTATTACATGAGGCCAGAGAGCATCAGCCAAGCCTGCTCTCTGGGATGGCCAGAGGATACTCCTTTCATTAAGACATTAAGGAATGAACTGGGATCAGGCCAAATAAGTTTCATAAACAAGCAGCCTAAACCCCCCATATCACCTACCTCTTGCTCACCAATGTCTCTTGGCTCATACCTCATGTGGAATTCCTTAGGAACAGCTAATAAAAAAAAATCATGGATAAATCACGATATATTGGTGCAAGCTGTAAATGGAATGCTTTCAGACTTAGTCCCACTCAGGAGTAGCCTTGAGAGATGGTGATTACGGGAAATCCTCCCGGTGGACTGAGTTTAAGCAGTTTTTCTAGGTCGTCAGTTTGGAGAACAATGCTGAATGGCTTGGTCCAGGGCCTGGAAGTTTTTTTAGAGAAAAAACTTTAAATGTAGGACCTATTTCTAAGAAACCCTCCTCAAAGGTCAAGGCATGGGCAATTCAAATTTTAAAAGAAAAGAATTTTAATCATTCTTGGAAATTTAAGTGACAGTGGTTTTTAAGAGCTGTAAATCTAAGATCTCTTTTAAAACAGAAAAGGTTTTAATTTTTGAGGGACTCACACCTGACAACTCCAATTAAACAATGGACTGGATGATAAGAGAAAGAGTTCTGGGGAAGAAGCATATGAGAGTGGTGTAACAAACATAATCTACGGCGACCCCTAATGCGTCACACCCTTGTGTAAGGAGTTATTGCACTGGCAGGTGGAGGTACAGTTGCTGCCACGTCAATTGGGGACAGGGAGATGTATGTCGTTTTGTGAGTCCTTTTCTTTTAGAAACTGGGACCAGACACCACCTTGAAGAACCAGTGATGGGATGATGTGAACTTAATGTGGGGGAGGAGTGGATATGAGTGGTGCAAAGATTAAAACGTAGCAGGATTTATTAGTGCCCTGCCCCATCCACTTGCCATGTACCTTTTCCATGGATGGCCAGCCCAACTTCCAACTACTGGCATGTGTGATTGTCTAAGGGCTCTTCCCAGCTGCCAGAACTTATTATGCCTCAGCACTGAGCAGACTGGAAGTTTCAGGGAATTAATCTGTCATATAGCATGTTTCAATTAATAACTGACAGGAGTTGGTGAATAAATATCCCAGCTCCCCCTTAAGGGGGAATAACAGACATACATCCAAACATTCTCCAGTGAATTCAACCTGCAGAGAAATTTGCTTGATAATATTCCCTTTATTAGCTTCCCTCTCTTTCTTCCTGTTGTTTACTAGATTATTACCCATGAAAACTATTTGTCCTCAAGTTTTGTCTCAGGATCTGCTTCTGGGTGAAAAAAACTAAGACCAGGTTCAAATGGAAGTGCTCAATTATAATATAATAATTGAAAACTAAATATTGCAAAACTAGAATTCTACAGATACTGTGAGTTATCCTAAATAGAAACATTGTGCAAATATTTAACTCATATTTAGAAGAGTTGCTTTCCATTATGAAATGGAACAGAACTAAATATTTTTCCCAGTTAAAAGATCCAAGTCAGTGCAAAATGCCAGAACTGACATGGTCATCCTTCTAGTTCTTAATAAAAAGAGTACCAAACTATGAAAGAAAACTTAATATAATAAATAATTTATTTAAAAAAATTGTAATTTCTCAATTTTGCATTTACAATACAATCTCTAACGTCACATTATGTTATGTGTTTATACTAAAATTCAATACAAACTTTTAAAGCTTCCTTACACTTTTGGCAGTTGAAAAACCTAGCAGTGGGTTCTGCGGTTAACAGGGGGCCCATTTCCTGGGAAACCTAGCACTTCTGTCTAGGCTAGGTTAGCTGCCGCTGGAGTAAACTTACATTCTCATAGTAGGTGCTCAGTAGATATTTATGGAATGAAGACGTTGCTCGTTAAAAGGGGAAGTGGGTTTAAAGGCAGTATTTACTGAGATCCCGAAGTTTAGGTTTGCAAGTAAAGGAACGGGTCTGGAGTCCTCGCAGGAGGTGGCAATCCATTCATTGGATACCGAAATACATCCGAGCGGTGGACTTCGACCCCTACTTACCCGGCCTCTGCGGACCCCGGCCAACCCCACCAGCGGGCGG